AAGATAACCTTGGTCTTAAGAATATTATAGTGTGTATAAAAGATAACCCTAAACCAAACATAATTATATTACATACCCTAATTTTAACCAAACACAGAAATCTAACATTCCCAGTAATCTAATATTCCCAGCAATCTAACATTCCCTAAGGTAATCTGACATTCCGTGAACCAAACGACCCCTTAAGGTGACATTAAGTAGAGGGGTAGTGTAGTCATTTCCTTAATTGCTTTCTTCTTCCTCTCCACCCCCACTCCATACCTCTTCTTTCTTGCCCTTTTGTGGTCATATAATGTATTTATTTACTAACTAAACTAAGCAGTACAAGCCATTTGTAAGTTTCAAAAAGCATGTATATCTATATAAAATTGTGGTTTTTAACCAACAAATGCTACAAATCAGTAAAAATTTCTATTTCTTTTGGCAGTTCCAGCGGGTTTACAGTGATCGGAAACTCGAACTTGGCCGATAAATGCCAAATCTGCAATATATAGGTTCAATTGCAAGCAGGCCCTGAATCCTGAATTTGATGATCCAGAACTCTAGCAGGAAAGAAGATTGTGTATAATTACATCTCATCTATGTTTCAATCTTGAATCCTCCAATCCTCCTTCAATATCTCGCAGAAGTGGTAACCTGTCATCATGTGACTATACAAGAATCTGTGGATGCATGGTGAAGGACAACCAGCATACTAAAAGCAGACTACTTTTAATTTGGTTCCGATCCCTATTTGCTTCCACCCCACAATCATCACATCTCCAATTTTACTCTCTGACTTGCTTTCAATCTACTCGCCGATGTTTCTCAGTTCTCACTCGCAAATTTCACTGTGTTCTCTGTTACAACACTCGCGTTTGCTTCTTCAAAATGGGCTCTGTATCGCTCGCAATTTTGGTCCAATCCTCCTTCAATATCTCTCAGATCTTCTTCGATTGATCCAATTCGATCCATCATCGGCCGGAGTTTAGAGATCAAACCAGTCTTCTTTCTTCTTCTTATTGGCCTGGCTGGTTGCGCTAAGACATAGAACTCATCGGCCACCACCGCCTTCCTTTTTTGACTGGGCAAAGCTTCTGGAATTTGGGTCTGAGCAAATGGGAACTCAGGCGGTTCAAGTCCGCCTGCCACACCGGCTTCAGGAAGAACTCATCCGCCCCTTCCTCCAAACATGGGTCGTTCCTGGCCGGAACATCCTCGGACGACATGGAACAGGAAGGGGGAGAGGAAACGAAGGAAGATGATGGGGACACTGGTGAAAGTGAGTGACCCTGACAAGAGGAAGAAGAAATAATTAAGGAAATGACTACACTACCCCTCTACTTAAGGTCACCTTAACTGATATTTAACGGAAGGATCATTGTTGGAATAAATCTGAAAGTCAAGTGTCTTTTTTGTCCAAATTAAAAGTCGATGATTAATTTTAGAAAATTGCAATAGTTGGAGGACCTGGAATTAACTCAATATTTTATTATCTCTCTATATATAGTTAAAAGAAATTTATACTAATATTTGGAAAATTTCAAAAGTGAAAGAAACTAACATAAACATATACCATGCAAATTATGGATTCATTTATAATTAATTAATAAATATTAAAAAGTTTATTTTCACATGAACATTAACTAAATTTAGAAAATGAACAATAGTGTCCCTAGGACAGATTTAGTGGATGGAAAATGTCATTTAAGACTTGTTTCACGAAGAATGGGTGTGGCTAGTTTAATTCTTGCGAAAAAAATAGCATTTAAGTTTTTTAAAATTTCTTTTATATTTTATCAAAGGTCACACTTGTGTGTCTTTTAAAGTCTTGTTAACCCCGAACCATATGCATAAAATTAAATGAGATAGGAGTAATAGTTTGCGGACTATTATACACAATTTATGAATCTAGCTTGTGTAGGATGTATTAGGTGGTTATGGAATTAATGTAGTTCGTTTCGTGAATTAATTTATCTCTTAATTATGTGGGGCTTACTTTCCTAAATTTATGTAGCATGATTAAGATAATTTGTAGAACTTGGTAGCAATTATATTCATGCCTTTTTGGCTGAGTGCCTTTTGTTTTTGCTGCGGGTTACTGGGTCACATAGACAAGTTTTGCAAGAAAGCTTATGAAGAGAACATTCCCCCTGAGGCCTTCCCTTTCGGTAGCTGGATGCGGGCAGGGGCGCGGCGTCAAGTGCGACCGGTGGGGGCACAATGGATCCTGCCTTCTACATCACAGAAGTCACCAATTCTCGAAGCTACGGGCCCTTCACCATTAACTCTGGTGACAGCCGTGGAAAGTGTGGGGTTACAGGGCGATTTGAAAACGTCGTCGTGAGGAGGAAGGGCAGATTGGTCACGGTACTGCGACCGGAGAGGATGTTATGATGTCAGAGAATCCTAAAATGTCAATGTCGGCGGGTCTGGAGAGCCAGACTCGCCCAGCCCAATGAATATCCTCAGTTGGAACTACCGGGGTTTGGGTGGCACCCGGACAGTTCGAGAACTCTTGGGCGTATCGTCCAAGGATCGACCCTTTTTCGTCTTCTTAACGAAGACGAATTGAAAGCAAAAGCGGACAGAATTAAGGAGGTGAAGGCGAAGCTGGGATTTGAAGGGGCTATTTCAGTGGACTGTGTGGGCAGGGGAGGAGGTCTAGCAATGTTCTGGAGAGACGCAGAGGCGGCTTCGTTACTTAGCTACTCTGTAAACCATATTGATATGGAAATCAAGCAACCAGGTAAGCCGATGTGGAGGTTGACCGGATTTTATGGGGAACCTGACAGGTCTCAGAGACATATAACCTAGGAGTTCCTACGACAACTCAAGGGTCGATCATCACTCCCTTGGGTCGTAGTGGGGGACTTCAATGACATAGCATGCCTCTTCGAGAAACGGGGTACCCATTCGCATCCGGGGGCCCTCATGGATGGCTTCAATGATACTCTGAGTGATTGCAACTTAATTGATTTGGGGATGTCGGGAGGTCAGTTTACATGGACAAAGGGCCACGACACCGAGGCCTGGGTGGAGGAAAGACTCGATAGGGCGGTGGACTCGATAGGGCGGTGGAAACGGTGGAGTGGATGGAGGCACACGAGGATGCAGAGGTTCAGAAGATTTTCACAACAAACTCAGAGCATAGTGTTATTTTCGTGGATATGGAACCGCGTCCGGTACGTAATGCGAGAAGGGAATTTAAATTTGAGTCTGCGTGGTTGTTGGATGAAGGCTGTGCAAAAGTGGTTGAGGCGGCATGGAGGCAGTCGAGTGGCATGGAATTTCAACACCGAATTGAGATTTGTGGTCAACAGCTACAGAGGTGGGGCGGGGACCATTCAAGGCAATTAGGCAATCGGATAAAAAAGCACCGGAACCGATTGGCTGTTCTGAAAGAAGATCGGGATCCGCAGGCGATCAGGGAATTTATGGAGACTGAGGCAGCGCTCGAAATTTTATTGAGACAGGAAGAAGTTTTTTGGCTTCAATGGTCTAAACAGCTTTGGCTTAAACTCGGGGACTCCAACACGAAATACTTCCATAAGTCAGCTTTGGCACGTAAAAAATGTAACTTTCTGCAACGAATGATGGATCAAGATGGGGTTTGGAAGGAGGGCGCGGCCATGCATTCTGAAGTGTTAAGGTATTACAATATTATTTTCTGCTCGAGGTCCAGCGATACCACGTTGTTCCCCCGCATGCGTCGTTGTGTCACAAACGAGATGAATATCTCTCTTTTATGGCCCTTCACGACTGCGGACGTGAAAGAGGCTCTGTTTTCCATGACTTCGGAAAAGGCTCCCGGTCCTGATGGTATGTCTCCGGCGTTTTATCAACACTTTTGGCCAATACTAGGCCATGATTTGTCTATGTTCGTCCTTAAGTGTGTTGCCAACTGTAACTTTCCCCGAGACCTGAATGTGTCTAATATAGTGTTGTTGCCAAAAAAAGAAAGTACTAGAAAAGGTATCTGACTTACGGCCGATCGCACTTTGTAATGTTGTGTACAAAGTCTTGGCCAAGATGTTGGCCAATAGACTCAAAGACCTGTTGGGACATGTTGTATCACAGTCCAGAGTGCTTTTGTCCCCGGGAGATTGTTAACAGATAACATTAAAGTAGCCGGGGAAGTGGGGCATTATCTGCGTAGGAAGGTCAGTGGAAATTTGGGGTGGGTGGCGCTGAATCTAGATATGTCTAAGGAGTATGATCGAATGGAGTGGGGTTTTTTGGAGGGGATCATGTTGGCGATGGGTTTTTCGAATCAGTGGGTGAGGTTGTTGATGTTATGTGTCTCTACTGTCACATATACTATTCTTGTTAACGGGGAGGCAGCGGGGTCTGTCTGTCCCACTCGGGGTATTCGTCAAGGGGATCCGTTATCCCCGTATTTGTTTATTTTGTGTGCTGAAGCGTTATCTGTGCTCTTACAACAGTCGGAGGCTAGTGGTGATATTCATGGGGTGAGGGTGACACGTGGTGCCCCCGATGTCACCCATCTGTTTTTTGCTGACGACAGTTTGTTGTTTTTTAGGGAAAACCAATGCGAAGCTGTTAAAATCAAGGAATGTTTGGATGGATATTGTGCGGCTTCGGGTCAATTAGTCAACTTCGAAAAATCCAATGCCGTATTCAGCACCAATACTGCGACGAGTATGCGAAGCTTAGTGTGTGACATTTTTGGGGTCCAGGAAGCACATGATTTGGGGCGTTATTTGGGCTTACCTTCGGTGTTGGGACGCAATAAAATTGCCACCTTTCGGTATATTGAGGACAAGATTCAGGAGAAATTGGCTCATGGCAACACAAATTTCTGTCAAGGGCAGGTAAAGAAATACTGCTTAAAAGTATAGCTCAGGCCCTCCCTATTTTTACTATGTCGACTTTTCTGTTGCCGGTTCGTGTCTGTGACACGATTGAAAAATTATAATCGGTTTTGGTGGGGTGGTGGAAGTGCTAACAGTCGGGGGATACATTGGCTCAGCTGGAGTCATTTATGTGAACCAAAGGCGATGAGCGATTTGGGCTTTAAACGTATACGCGATTTTAATTTGGCATTGTTGGCAAAACAAGGTTGGCGTATTTTAACCCAACCCGAATCCTTGGTAAGCAAGTTACTTAAAGCCAAATATTTTCCAGCAGGTGAGTTTATGGAAGCATCTGTAGGCACGAACCCGAGTTATTTTTGGCGAGGAATTGTGGCAGGACAGGAAGTCTTGAGACGTGGTTTGGCACGGAGAATTGGGGATGGTATGGACACGAAGATTTGGGGATGGAACTGGCTTGCTAGTTCGTCCGGTACAGGTTTACATACGCCATGCATTGATGAGCTCAAGGAGGCTAGAGTACAAGGCCTGCTGAACGAACAGGGCGAATGGGAGGAAGGGGTGATACAGGATCTGTTTCAATCAGAGGATGTACACAGAATCCTCTCGACCCCTATAAGCAAAGTTTACAAGGACTCTTGGCGTTGGATCGGTGATGCTCGAGGCTGCTACACGGTGAAACAGGGTTACTGTGTGCTCACGGATCAGCTAGAAGGTACGGGCTCCCACTTTGGCTTTCGTTCGTGGAACCGTTTGTGGTCGCTCCCGGTGCCCCCGAAAGTGAAAAATCTCCTATGGCGATGTGCCCGTAATGTGTGCTGCCAGTCCGCGAAAATTTGAAATTAAAGAGAATCTGGATTGGAGGCAGGTGTCCGTTCTATGGCTCCCCCTTCGAAACAACTGAGCATATTTTTGGTGAATGCAGCTATGCTACAAGCTTGTGGGGTGCGAACGACGTGCTACATGGACAGAACTTTCCAACAATGATGGAAGCCATTCTGGGGAAGTCGAACGCATTGCAGGCTTGCAAGTTGGCAGCCATCGTGTGGACACTATGGAACGCACGAAATGCGATCGTTTGGCGTCAAGCAAATCCATCGGTAGCGGAGCTTAATGTGCCGGTCACAAACACGCAGCAAGTTTGGCAGGAGACGTACGCAGCTCATAACCCCACTGTGGGTAACCGAAACCAGAATGCTCCTTGGATCATCCATCGCCAGCTACCTTTCTCAAATGCAATGTAGATGCGGTCATCTTCCAGGACGGAGCAGGTTACGGGGCTGTTCTGCGCGATCATACTGGTGGTTTTGTTGCGGCGAGGAATGGCCGTATTAGCCACATTCATGAACCACTCCAGGCTGAGGTTCTTGCGGTTTATGAAGCTCTCAAATAGCTATCTGGTTTACACCATAATAATGTTATTATTGAGTCTGATTGTTTATCATTTTGTAATGCTTTTAATTCCCATATGGTAGATTATTCATACATAGGTTTGATTGTAAAGCAATGTCGTACGATTGTTAGGGACATAGGGGACGTTAAAGTCCGTCATGTCAGGAGATCAGCGAATTATGTGGCTCATAGTTTGGCTCGGGCAATTGGTTCTTCGACTGTCTCTATGTCGTGGGATGTCATCCCACCTGATTGTATCGTTGGTTTATTAACCCATTAATGATATCTGGTTTTGTTTTGTTAAAAAAAAAAAAAAACACCTCTGCTCTGTCATATAGATCTTTTATAGTGCTTACTACCATAGGAGACTTTGAATTGTCTGCACGGTTGTCATAGGACATCATTGACACACGGTTGATGCTTCTAAGTGGAGTATATTCAACTTTCAAACTGAAAAGGAAAGTATTAGATCTTATAAGTGCATGAAATATTGTTTTAAAAGTAACTCATATTATGGTTTTTGGTTTAAAATCCTATCTGTATTTAGAAGGATTAAAATAGGTTTAAAATTACCTAGCTTTGAAATCATTAAATTCCTTCTGGTCATGATTAAACCATATTTTAGTAGCATTGTAGAAACTTGAGATTCTAACTTCATAAAAAAAAATAGAAACAGATTTTTCATTAGAAATAAAAAATCTAGCCGGCAGATTTTAAGAAAATTAAGTGATAGTAGTGAAGTGAAATAACCACAAAATCTTTTATAGCGTAGACCTTACCTTCCTTTATCAGTTTACTAAATTGCGATACACAGTCCTAAAGACTAACCATAGAATGAATTATTTGCAAGTACAATATAAAAAGAAATTACCTGTCGTGGAAGAGACAGCTCTTTATGGAATCTGTCTTTCGGCCGTCAGGTATTACACATGAACCTAATATCTCTTTTATATGTACTTGGACTGATGTCTTTTCTAAAATGTAGAAGAGAGTCCAAAAAGAAAAAAGATCTCTAAGAGTTCCCTGAATCGGAAAGAGAGTACTCATTTTCAGGCAGAGTAGATGGCAAAGAAAGAACAAACACACATAGCTTAATTCACAAAATCGATGGTTAGTAGCCTTTATTTATAGAACAGAGTTGAAGGCTGAAGAGTTCAAATCAAGCTTGGAGAATGTAGAGTTCCAAAAAAACTCAATAATTCCTGAAGAGCAATTATGGGTTAGCACCGGAAAATGAAACGCCAAAGTAGAAAGACTGCAATGTTTTAAATTCATCTCTATTGATGCATAGTATTGTCCCGTGCGATGCACGGCTAAATATTAAAAATTTATTTGTAATGTTATAATGGATAAAAAAAATGTTTTTATTTATTAACTGCCAACTATGATAATGGTGTTTGAAGTTCAAAAAAAAGAACACTTGAATCACAAATTAATTTTTGAAAAAAATAGATTGACATTGTATATTATGTATTAAACATTTCATGATAAATAACATTAGTTGTTGAATTACTAACGGTATTCAACTCACTCATTTTCGTCCTTGACTTTTGTTAATGGTCATGTAATGACAGCATCAAAGTTACACAAATTTATAACAGTATTCTTAAGAACCATGATAACCTCATGAAATAGCAAGTAGATTTACTTACCAAACTATTTTCAAAGTTATAAGGCAAATGTAGATTTACTTACCAAACTGTTTTCAAAGTTATAGAGGCAAATGTAAGTCTGTATGATTTTGTTCTTAATTATGTATTTCGTAGTGCTATTTATAGTGATCATAGTTGGGTACAAAGAGCTTATATAGTCAAATTAGCTAGGTATCCGACCCGTAGGCTTTCATATGTATCATAATCGGTTTTTATTTGATAAATGTTAATACCAAAACATGTATAAGTAGTTTTGACTATGCACCTACTTGAATTCATGTTACAGGTATGAAGTAGTACTGTGTATGATTTTTTAATATTTTACTGCCTTTGCAAGATGTAAAGTATTAGCAGATAGAATGTACTCTATGAACCTAGGCACCACAATTGCTGCCACCACCCCAATAGCTGCCACCACCCCAATAGAACTCACAGCTTCATCAATTGACACAAATTCCTAAAAGCCATTAAGAAAAACTCAAATTAATCACCATTGAAAGACTATAAGCTAAAAACACAATTGAGTATCTGGATGAGAAACTTACACCTGATAAAATAAACTTAAACCTAAACTTCTGCCGTTGTACTCTGATTTAAAATACATTTTCTTGCATATTTAAATGTCACTTGTATACAACTTAATGGTCAAAACAGCGTGCTGTATACTTTCTGTTAGTTTTCATAGCCTCGACGGCCGCCCGGCAGACCAACACTACCGAATAATTGTTATTGTCTAACTAATGAAAACAAGGGGCAAAGGTATTAAAAGAGAATGAATGAATAATGAGGTGTTATTTTTCTAGGGTTTTTGCCCCTTCAAGATGTTGATCCTTTACATGATGATCCCAAGGGGATGTTTATACATAGATGTGAGGCTTATACATGGTAAGTAGGGCTGGCGTGCAGCTAAGCCTAAGAGGGCGTAGGGCTGATGTTAGGGCTGATGCAGCTGTCAACTTATTATATTGCATTTCCCGTCTGAGTTAATTAAGGAAGCTACCTAATGAGCAAAGATTGCTTCCTTGCTCAAATAGCTACTAAGCTCCTTCCCATCAAACTTGGAAACGAGCCTGATGTTAATCCTGAAAAGCTTATTACACTGCTCCTTTCCCTCTCCATCTCGCAACGGGGACTTGCCACTCGAGATTGGAAGACTAATGTAGAGCTCAATCCTATCGTTCTCGAATTCAGCAGTGCTGTATATAGTCCTCCTACCATCATAAACCGGCTGAGCACCAGAAACCGCCACAGAGTGGACCTGCACTATCTCCCGTTTGATCATTCTCGCAACTTCCTTTGATGGATTCAATGGAAGATTTGCTGCAAGGGATTGAACTTAACAAGAAAATGATTGGCAAGAAGCGAGATAGTTTGCCCTTCCACTCCACCTGAATCTGGTCTTCTTGCCCTAACCCTCCTAACATCTTTCTTCTCAGTTTCTCTTGTTATCACCACTCTATCTGCTTAGTTATTGGATCAAAACACACACACACTCACACTCACTCTTTAAATGCCAACTTCCATATCATTTCTGTTAAAGATTAACGAGAACAATAAACAATAACAATGGCAAAAACTAAAAAAAGAAAAGATTTAAGTGGTTCAGCTCCACGGGAGCGAATCTATTCTTTTATTAATAGTAGTGGTGATCAAACACCCAGAATTCTTTCTTTGATATAATTTAAACTAATGCTGACAGTGTTCATCAAAACCCTTGCAAATTAAATTTACCAAGACCAGTAATTTTGTCATCCAAGGAAGAAACTATTGACACTCTCAAACATCACTGGAAATTAGTGATTAAGGATAAAAAAAAAAAAAAAAAAAAAAAAAAAAAAAAAAAAAAAAAAAACTGTGATATGATGATTAAGGGAATATCTTTATTATTAGAACTGATTTATTATCTTTACTATTAGAATTGATTTATTTCCTATAGAGATAGCAAATAATTAGGGTAAGGAGCTTTAATGATTCTCCTTTCCTTATTATGTTTTAGTTAGTCTTCCTTTCCTTTTTATGTTTTACTAGTCTTTGTAACCCTCTTATATAAAGGGGATTTTCATTCTAAGAAAATAACAAGCAAGAAAGAAGTTAAGTTAAAATCAAGAGGTGGGAAAACTCTCAAAACGTTCCTATTATCTTTGTTCCTTAAATTTATCTCTCAACATAGACATCCCCAATAACCATAATCGCCCTTTGACGCGTGCTTTCACCCGAGAACATAACATTTTGGTTCCGTTGCCGGGCGTCAATATGGGCGATATCAAAAAACTCCAAGACGAGGTCCGAGCTATCCAGGCGTCCATCGAAAAGCTGGAACTCCTTCCTGCAGCTGTGGACTCTCTAACCGAAACAGTAGCCAATCTCTCCCAGATGGTGCACTCTTTCTTCGCATCGCAGGCCACCACTTCCACAACTGTGACAGCCTCTCATGGTAACCAAGCCACGCCGGAGACCGCACTGCCGCAGCCAGCTACTCCCATTCCTGCTACACGATTCACCAGATTGGAGTTCCCCACTTTTGATGGCAAAGGGGACCCTCTTGTTTGGCTCCATCGCTGTGAGTTGTTCTTTGACAAATCACCACATTCTGATCATGAGAAGGTTACCACAACAACGTATTATCTGTTTGATAGCGCCCAACTGTGGTACAAACGTCGCATGGTTAACGGAACCAAAATGTTATATCATTGCTGTAAAGCTGTATGTTGTGATTCCCATTTTCAATTGAAATGCAATCGTGTTTCCACTTCTTCTTTGGAGGCACATGGTTTAAGGTTGTGATTCCAACAGTGTAAATTTGTCATATATATTAGCCTTATGAACATATGGAGAATTTATTTTTTTTAAAAAATACTTAATGAAATTACAAATCATAGTTTAATAATAATAATAACCATTGGACTAATAAATCACCCAACCTTGATGAAATTACAAATCATAGTTCAAGAATATCATTTTTATAATGTATAGAAAAAAGAATCATATATCTTACTCCACTATCACATAGCTTGCTCAGCTATGTGCACAAGATTGACGGAATTAAGTAAACAATCATTCTTACGGTAAATATAGACTTTCATAGTAAACTCGAGCATTTATTCTCTGCATAGACATATGGTATTTCCATTCTTCTATTGTATCCGTATTCCTCTCGTTGTAAACTTGAATATTGCCGGGAGTTGGATTTGAAGCTATGGTAATACTTTTCCTTTCTTTACTTATAGAGAACATCTTCCTTTCTTGAGTTACCAAATCCAGAGATATGAAGTATGGTACATCCGCATGCTCTGAATTCGGATCAACTGTACGGTCTAGAAATACAAGCAATTCTCCATCCACATTCCAAATTCCTATTGGTCTCAAAAATTCAATATTATTATATATGCTTGGAGAAGAATCTATGCGTGCTTGTTTACACCAATAAGTATTGTTGTCATTTTCAATCATTAACCAAATATCATTGCATCTGGTATTCCCCACAATCGGTGAATCAAATAAAACAATAGTCTCATTCATTATTGAGACTAAAGCAAAAGTATAATAAGGTGCAGGCAACTCAATCGTCCCAAACACCTCATTATTCATGTCAAACCAAATCAAGCAGTGCTTGCCATGTCCTCTAGTCTGCCAATAGTACCTCCCTTTTAAATAAAAATCATTGCTCTTATTCTGAATATTTCGAAAATTTGTAACTGAATTAATCTCTCTCAAACTCCAAGAATCACCATGATCTTGACTATAAACCATTGTGATTTGGTGAACAGTTCTCCCATCGAAAGAAGAACAAATTTCTATTAGCATGACAACCTTCCAAGTCATGTTGTTAGAAATCCCAAATCCAAATTCGCTAAGGGCAAATACATCACAAGGTGCTCTGTAAGGGACAGTAACCGAGGGTAAGTCTTTAACTTTCCTAATGGAGGGATTCCATATAAAAATATCATAAATAAGATAATCACCATTATCAAGTTTATCATTCTTGGTTGAAATCAAGCATATCATACCTTTACAACACTTAACCCACCGCGCTCTTGGGGTTCCTGGGATGTCTAAGTATATGCATCCAATCTCATTATACTCAGATTCTTTGTAAAGCAAATAATATTCTTTACAATCATAACCAACCTCTAAAAGAACACAATCGGTTTTTGCTTTGCTAATTTCGTAGTGTTTGTGCATGAAGTGCTGATCACTTTTTATCAAATCATAGAAAAATTTACAAACACACTTAAATCGCATAAGAGACTTTACCGGTAATCTCGATAAAATTTCAACCATCATATCCCTTGACAATTTGCAATTTTCCATTTTCAGGCCGATATCGAGTCTCAAAGATCAAACAATTCAATGCTTCTAGCAATTAGGGAAAGATGTGCCTTCAATCGTCGATATGCAGTATTGGCGATGACGGAGATCTGAGAATAGAATATAATAGGGATGAATAAGGGTTTGGTGTGTTGAAGACTTCTATTTGAGTTGTAATACAAGTGGTACGGTGTTATTACTTATCCATACTATATAAATACATATAGTAATATAATTCCTATTTGTTAGAATTGTATATTAAAAATATGGTAATACAATTCCTAATTCCTAATATAATACGGAGTATATTCTTTCCTAATTTCTTATTCCTAACACAATTCTAGATTAAAATTACTAACCTTAATAATAATAATCTATACTATTAATAAAAGTAAAATCATGATTTACATCCTCACAAATACTCTGTCAGGCCGGGGTGTGGGGGGCCCTTAGGGTTGGGATTCAACTTTTTGGAAGAATAAAAGTAAAATCACCATCTTCAACTTTTCCGTTCAAATTAATATAAATATTAATTAATTGGTAAAAAAAATAATAAAGCTTAATTGGTAACGAAATTTTATATGAAAATTAATTAATATATAATGAATTGTTACCACAAATTAAAGTTAATATATACTTAAAAATGAAAAATGGTTACCAAATTCTAAGAATAATTAAACTATGAGTTAATACCCAAAATCGTCCTCGACTATAGTGATTTTTCTCAATTTCGTCCTAAACGACTTTGGTGACCTAATATCGTCCCAGACTTTTGTGTTTCGCTCAATTTAGTCTCAGACTTTTGTGTTTTTGCTCAATTTAGTTCCTCATTTGTTATTCTGTCCATTTGGTGTTAAATAAATAGACAATTCAGTAATTTTAATATTGGCATCTCTCTATTCATAGACATGTGAACTGCGAAATCTTTTTTTTTTTTTACGAATTACTCCTAAAACTGCGAATATAAAATTTGATTTGCAGGTCCGGGAGTAATTCTGCGTGTAATTCGTACAAGAAAGAGGAATTTCACACTTCACAAGTTGAAAGTAAAGAGAGATCAATATTGACATTACTGAATTGTCCCTTAATTTAACACCAATTTGACGGAATAACAAATGGAGGACTAAATTGAGCGAAACACAAAAGTCTGGGACGATATTAGGTCACCAAAGTCGTTTAGGACGAAATCGAGAAAAACCACTATAGTCGAGGACGATTTTGGGTATTAACTCATTAAACTATTATAATTGTGAGAATAATGGAAACAAATTCTGCGTAATAAATGAAAAATTACCAATTTCTTTGTAATTTTATAAGGAAATAATAATTTATTAATTATTATTTACACTGAATCCGAGCAAGGAGCGGATTACAAATTTTCCCTTTTTTCAATATTATGATTTACTTAGAGGTGTATTTAGTTATGACTTTTATAGACTTTTAAAATGATAGATTTTAATAATTTTTTATTGACTTTAATAGGGTCGTTTAAAACTTTTTATAAAACTTTATAAGACTCTATAAAAGTCTATATAAAAAAAATTTATAAACTTTTATCAACTTTGTTGTGTAAATGATTTAAATACTCTTTTTGTCAATAAATCCCCAAGGTAGTTTTTTTTTAATGCTACTGACTCTATTACAAAGTAGTATTTGTTCCCCAATGTAGTATCTCCAAGGTAGTTAATATGATCGGTTTAATTATATATATATATATATATATATATATATATATATATATATTAAACATTTATTATTATTATTATTATTATTATTATTATTATTATTATGTATACCCTTAGGTCATTTTACATGATAATCTAAATAGCTAATTTTTTCAAATATCTTTTTATCAACCGTTGATATAATTCGCTGGTCAAATCCGCTAACGCTAATCGCTAACTGCGGATTGTCAAACAAGGACATTGCGAGGTAGTTCTCACTTTTTGTTGTGAGATTTGAATACTCTCTTTGTCAACAAATCCCTCAAGTAGTTAATATGATTGGCTTTATTAATTATATATTTTTTTAATTTTTTCATGGTATTAATAAAATAATTGGTAAATAAATATATGATATTATTTTGTATTATAACTTTGATATTTAATTAAAAAATAGTGCACAAAAAAGATAATAGACAATGTAGTGAATATAATCAATTGATGAATTTGAATGTAAAGAATTTTTACATTGAAGAAATATAAAGACAATATAACTAATAAAATTATTTCTCTTAATTAATTTATTGATAATGAATAATTATTTTTTTAATAAAGACATTGTAGAGATAATGTAGCGGATATAATCAATTGATGAAATTGAATGTAAAGAATTTTTATATTGGAGAAAAATAAAGACAATATAACTAATGAAATTATTTATCTTATTTAATTTATTGATAATGAATATTTTTTTTGAATAAAGACATTGTAGACACATAATTCTAAATTAAAGAAATGCATATATATGCATGTATTATTTTTTGTTGTAGCTACTAAATTATTATTTTAATTTAATAAGAGTAAAATAGAGTACTAATTATGTCAACTTTGATTGGGATGGGGTTCAAACCTAAGACCTTTCTTATTTAAATCAATGAGTAAGTTAACGGTGAACTAACAGAAATTAACGAAAAATATAATATTTAATGGAAAAGTTAACGTAAAATCATATTCATTAAGGATAAATTAGTAAATCTTACGGAAAAATTAAAATCTGATCAATCTGAGTCATTCATTTGATTAAAAAATTTGACCGTCATTTTTTCTACCCATTATAGGCCTAATTCTCTTGGGCTCTTATTAGTATAGTAGATATAGTAGATATAGTAGATAGTATAGTAGATATATACTATATATAAAAATAAAATTCTGAAATTTTAATTTCTCGCTCAATTCCTAAAAAATCTCTTTTCCTAATAAAATATATTGATTTCTACAGTCCTATTCGTACAATAATTATGGGTTAAAATTCTATTCTAATATTATAAAATAGTGCAATACAATTCATATTCCTGTTGTTTTAGTTTTTAGCAGTTCGGAGCAAATTGTTAAGTTATTAAATAATATTTTTGGTGTTTTTATTAAATATAAAATGTTAAACTAACGAATTTTTTAAAATTTTGACGAATTTGTCAAATAATCAAATTACAACAACAACAACAACAATAATAATAATCTAAACAAAACTATATATATAATAAATTTAATTTTTTTTTTAAAAAAAAAAAAGACAAAGGAGAGCCACGGGCTCCATTTTAAAATGTTTGAAAAGAAAGAACCCCTCTATATAATTGCTCCTCTTACAAACATATTTTTATTTAAGAAGCCTTAACTTTGTCTTCTTATTTTAGTTTTATTTATTTATTTATTTATTATTGATTATTTATTTATTTATTATTAGTGGGGGTTCTGAAAGATTAACTCAAATTTATGTGTTGTATTAGTTTTAGCAGTTTGGAGCAAATTACTGAGTTATTATATAATATTTTTGGTGTTTTGATTAAAGTTAAAATGATAAAATTACAAATTTTTTTAAAATTTTGACGAATTTATTAATAATTAAATAATAATAGTAATACTAAAATAATAATAATAATAATAATAATAATAATAATAATAATAATAATGATAATAATAATAATAATAATAATAATAATAATAATAATAATAATAATAATCCAAACAAAATGATATACAAAATAAAATTAAAATTAAAAATAATAAGAAGAAGACAAAAGGGAGTCACGGGCTCCCTTTGTAAATGATGTTGGATCATTTTGATCTCACATTGAAAATGTTTGGAAAAATTATTATATATCTAGACAAAAAACATATCTTTCATAAAAAGAATAAGGATATCAATTCATTTCTATAACTGAGTTGTTAGAGAACGAGCACATTTGTCTAATTTATGAAAATACTAGACAATGATAAACAAAATCTTCAAAGTTATAGCACTGCATGCGTACATCTAGACATTAGCTATTAATTTGAGCAATTATTTGCACAAATTCAAGCAATGCTAATATCAAAATATATAAACGATCCAAACTATATCTTTAAATGCACTATATAATATTTAATGTTCTAATTTAAATAATTATATATCGATTCATATATTCTTAATATATTACAACAAATCCATTCCGTGCATCGCACGGGTGCAAATACTAGTTAATGGACAAGGAAAATCCTATCAAAAAAATTACTAAATAATAATAATAATAATAATAATAATAATAATAATAATAATAATAATAATAATAATAATAATAATATGATTAATAATAATAAGTAAAAAAGTTAACAGCAAAAACAAAAATAAAAATAAAAAACGATCCCAAATTCATTAATTAATGGAAAAGGAAACTGAATTCACTAATTAATGAAAAAGAAAAATTTACCACACGCACAAACACTATTTTGAGGTTTTGGACAAAATCATGAGGGATCTATTGAGGTTCGCCATATTGGGTAGTGTTGAAAAGACTTTTGGTGGAAAGACAATAGTTTTGGGCGACGATTTTAAACAGAGCCTACATGTTATTCCGAAAGCAACAAGATCAATAGTTGTCGGAGCAAATATTAATTCTTCATACATATGGACAAATTGCAAGGTATTAAGGCTCACCAAGAACTTGAGACTACGGACCTTAGGTTAAGAGTAAGATAAACATACACTTGATTGGTTTTCAAAATGGATTGCAGACATCGGAGATGAAATTGCAAGGGTTGTAAACAACGGTTCATTTGAGATCGATATTCCGGCACAATTTTTGTTGAAGTGTTAACACAATCCCATAGCAACTATAATGGAAAACACATTCCCAAGCTCGAGATATGACATGCTTGATGAATCGCATCTAGAAACACTAGTACAAAAAACATTTTCCGAGACACCTATAAAACACTTTACGAGTCACCTGTACAAGTGATTCGGATTCCAGTGACTCTGAAAGTGATTAGCTTTCCGAATACATCTACATCTATAGCAGCCAGAGT